TCAACATATATATTTGAATGTATACCTGCCTCAGGGAAAAAAAAAAAAGATACCCCCACTTGTCTCCCACTCCCCCTGCTGTTTTTTTTTTTGGTTCAATATCTATCTTGTACTCGTACTTGTCATTTACTTACAGAATTGTATTCTTTTTTTAAAATTTTTTTAAAAATGTTTCTTTTTTGAGAGAAAGAGAGAGAGAATGTGAACAGGGAAGGGGAAGAGAGGGAGACACAGAATCTGAAGCAGGCTCCAGGCTCCAAGCTGTCAGCACAGAGCCTGATGTGGGGCTCAAACTCATGAACCGTGAGATCATGACCTGAGCTGAAGTTGGATGCTTAACCGACTGAGCCACTCAGGCGCCCCCAGAATTGTATTTTTGGCAAACAATATAGTACCATATGCAGTGTAGCTTTCCTGTATTTAAATCTAGTTATTTCTCTCCTAGAACTTTTAAGTTATCAGAAAGAATTAAGCCTAGAACTGTGTGTATAAATACGATCCCAATTTCTCTGTCATCATCTCTATACGTGTAGAAAAAACTTCTTGAAGGATATATGCTATAAGCAAACTTTTTTCTGAGAAGGGGATGATAGACTTTTATTTCTGCTTTTATACTTTTAATATATAAATTTTTTACAGTGAGCATGGGTCACCTTTCTTTTAGCTTAAAAAGATATAGTTTTAAAGCTTTAAGTAAAAAGATCTTAGTTATTTATTTTTTTTTGTTTGTTTTGTTTTTTTTTTATTTATTTCTAGGAGAGAGAGAGAGACAGCGTGAGCAGGGGAGGGTCAGAGAGAGAGGGAGTCACATACTCTGAAACAGGCTCCAGGCTCTGAGCTGGCAGTCAGCACAGAGCCCGACGCGGGGCTCGAACCCACGAACCGTGAGATCACGACCTGAGCGAAAGTCGGACGCTCAACCGACTAAGCCACCCGGGCGCCCCGATCTTAGTTATTTAAATATGGTATTTCCTGGAAGTAGAAAAGCCTCAGCAATTTTTTCTTATATTACTTATTTATTCTTATTAAAAATTTATAAAACCAACCAGTCCAATATTGTCAAGAAAAGCTTCAATAATGTATATCTTTTAAGTTCCTATTTAATACAATCACTTAGATAAGACCTAAAACCTTGATTTATATAGTTTTTCTCTTTTCCCAAATTTTCCATAATAAACAATATTACTTTTATAGTAAAGAGCATTTAAGGTGGGCAAATCTTTATTATTTCAGTCTTTGCTTACGAGGTTGATGTGTTGTGGTTTTAAAGCCTTTTCTCCACAATATTTATTGTTCTTTTGTGCCAACTTGGAAGGGAAAAGCCAGAGTAGAAGCTTTATAAAGTTATTTTGCGGGATGCCTATTTTTCTGATAGTATTATTTGCAGTTGCTAAAAATACACACAATAGATCTTGAGGAAAATGCAAACTGCTAGAATATGGCTTTTTGAGTAGTATGTTTTTCTTTGCAATGTCAAGGCCTTTCACTCATGCACATGCTCCCTTGGGTATGTTAACCTCCCTCCACTTCCTCCCCAAATTTCCTAATTGCATTTTTAGATTGTGTAATTGTATTTGTCCTTTGTATATGTAAATATACAAACTATTTTAAAATAAATTTCTTTTGGTAGCTGATTAATTTTATTCATTTCAAATGGATGGTGATAAGAGGTCACAGGTCTTATAAATACCCCTGGAAATTAGGAAATTAGATCTTACCCTTTTGACTAGATTCACTAACATGGAAACCACTTAGCCTTCACCCTCCTCCATCCTTCTGCAAAGTGTTTTGAAGAACTTAGCTTAAGTGAATAAAATCTGAAAATTTGAGGCTTATTTTTCTTTAAAAATATAAACGGAGTGTTAGTATTTTTCAGACAATTAAGAGCTAAAATCTAAGGGCTTTGGTTGTAGTTCTTTTGCCGCTGATTAGGTATTCCTCGGTGGTGATTAGGGAATGTACAAATGCAATCATTCGATAGGGCTTAATCACTCATATGAGAGAGAAGTTAGTTACCCAGAAAGAGAAATTGAAGCTTGTATAACTTCCATTAGTTTTATTTTTTTAATAGCAAAAAAATAAGGAAGAAAAAATTTTGGCTAAATGAGGAGTATTGGGTCATAGAAGATAAATTGTGGTTTAAAAGAAATAGAGAACCTGGGTAAATATATTTACATGAACATATTGCTGTACTATTTATTATATTGTCTGCAGTACAGGTAGTTTCTGAAAAGCTGTCCCTTAACACAGGACAGATTTCCCTCAGAGAGACAGAGTATGAAGCGCTACCTGAACAAGTCTTTTCCTCTTTGTACTGGATGCTGAGCCCCCACAATTGCAGGATGAGCAAGGGGGAGGAAGTGTCTTTTTTCCCAAGCTTAGTACATTAGTCAAAGTTGAGAAGCCATCTGAGGCAAGAGGAGAGTGTGTGTATTTGGGCAATACCATATTCCTTTCTGGTGAGATGGGTTATGGGGCTTGAGTCCTGAGAGTAAGACTGGCGGGGGGTGGGGTGGGGTAGATTTGAGCAACTTGGAATGGTGAGTTAGGGATGTCTGTGTGGGGAGGCCAACTGGCCACACGGCTCTAGCGTTGTAGGGTGGCATGATGTTGTTAAGGTTACGGCTTTTTTTTGTCACGGGTAGGGTTCAAAAGCTCAGCTTTGGAGACTTCCCCAGAGGAATACCTTCTTCTTGGGGATATAAAATAATCTCTAATCAAATTCACAATTGCTAATATATAAATCAAAATACTCCAGCCTTTCAGCCCAGTTTCTGGGTTATTCCTAAGGTGACCAGGGCTGTCCTGGTGTTAGCACCAAAAGTCCTGCGTCCAGAAAACCCCCCTCAGTCTTGGGGAAGCCCGCAGTCCCAGGGGGATGATTGATTACCCTATTTTACTTTCTTGAGCCACTTAGCAACTGCTTAGCATAGGAGGAGGAGAAATGTATTCTCATTGCCACTGTGTACAATCTCTTCCCTATAGTACGGATGATAAACGGCCCTCAGCTCTTGGATAGCAGTTCAACCCCGAATGCAATTTCAGAGAGGAAGAATGTTGCTACATTTCCATTGTGCCTGATATGACTGTTGTGATTATCTACTGCTGTGTAACTAATGACTGAAAAACCTAGAGGCTTAAGACAACATTGTTTCATTATCTTTCCTGGTTTTCCATGGATTTGAGAAAGGCTCAGCTGGCAATTTTGGCTCCCTTAGTACCATAGTGGCAACAACCAGAACAGGTGGGTCAGACACCTCTGTCTGCCTGTTCTCTCAGGGCCTCTCCAGGTCATGTCTCTGTATGGGCTGCTCTAAGCTCTCTCTGGCACGCTTGCCCCCAGGTAGTTGGATGCTTACCTAGCAGGTCAGGGTTCCAGAGCAAGTGTTCCAGCTAACAAGTAAGAAGCTGCCATGAAGGTCATGCCAGATATTACTGCATAGCATCATCTTATCGTAGTCACAAGATTCAGGGGAGGGGGAGCATAGCCCCTGCTTCTGGATGGTTGAAATATCAGCATCCCAATATTTTGCAATGGAGAGATAGTTGCAGCCATTTTTGGAAAATACAGTTTGCCACGATTACCTTGCCCCCAAAAAGCAGTTTTTCACTAATAAAAGTAATGAAGTTGTTAAAATGTGATTTTTTTCCTCATGAATTTTCATAAAGCAGTTTTCATTTTGGATGAAAACAAGAAGTTCAGCCTGTAAATGTTTCTTGATTTGTTCTCAAAACCCTTCCTCATCATTGTTCTACTGGAATGAGTGTGTGTGTGTGTGTGTGTGTGTGTGTGTGTGTGTGTGTAATATATATGTTTGTCCCCTCTTTGCCCTAAAAAGAAAGCCAATTGACCAAGATAGGTGTAGCAAGAGTTCATAAGCTTCTACAATAAGAGTTTCAGGGTGTGTGTATATGTGTGTGTGTGTATAATATATAATATAAATTTTTTCCCTCTTTCCCCTAAAAAGAAAGCCAATTGATCAAGATAGGTGTAGCAAAAGTTCATAAGCTTCTACAGTAGGAATTTCAGTGTGTGTGTGTGTGTGTGTGTGTGTGTGTGTGTGGTGAGTTTCCATGCACATTTGCAACCTGGGGTAATAGAAACGAAAGAGTAATTGGGAGAATAGAAGGACAGGACTCAGGATGAAGGAAGGTGTCTACTGGAAAGAACTCTAATGACATTCGTTGATGACTGGAAAGGGGACTAATAAGGAACAAGGTGGTGGCGGTCATTTGGAAGTAAAGGTCAGGTGTACATATAGCATCACTTTAGTATGATCATTTGCTTTAAATTGTGGATACTAATGTCTTGGGTCAACTCTCTCCCATTGCAGTGCTGAAGACCCATGAGTTATGCTTTTCTATAGCCTCTAGCTCCTTATCTCCTGGTAACAGAAATTGGAATTTAAAAAATTTTTAAAGGGGGGGGGGGTTCCTGGGTGCCTCAGTCAGTTGAGTGTCTGACTTCAGCTCAGGTTGTGATCTCATGGTCCATGAGTTTGAGCCCCGCCTTGGGCTCTGTGCTGACAGCTCAGAGCCTGAGCCTGCTTCAGATTCTGTATCTCTCTCTCTCTCTTCCCTTCCCCTACACGCTCTTGCACACGTGCACTCTCTCTTTCAAAAATAAACTAAAAAAATTTTTTTTAATTAAACTAAAAATTTTTTAAATTAAAAAATAAAATTAAACAAATTTTTTAATTAAAAAATAAATTTCTTCATGAATGCAGTTATGTGGGGGAGTTTGCTGATAGCACTGTTTTAGCAAAGTTTCAGAAAGGCATGCTGCAAATCTTAACTTTCTTGAACTGACTTTTTGGGGGCTTGATATATATTTAATATTCAACTTTTATGAATCTTCCATGACTTCTGTTGTTTTGTGCTAAACTCATTGTTTTATTGAGGAAATTTTTCAAAACTTAAAAATAAGAAAAGGATAGCAGAGAGATCATAATTCTAAAGCACTTCTTGTTTAAGAAGATATTTATGTGTTTGGATTGTAGGCATACTGTAATACGGTCCAGCTAGATTCTGGAATAGATTACCGGAAAAGGGAACTTCCTGCTGCAGGAAAACTCTACTATCTGTAAGTTTCTTAAGTTCAATTTTTTAAGTTTATTATCTAATAATTAATCAGGAAGATATGAGAAAAACAAGCAGGGTAATTATTAGAGCTTGAAAGGCTAGTTCTGAAGCCCGTGATTTTTAAAATAGAAAATGTTATAATGTTAACTTCTTTAAACTGTGTTTTTTGCCATCCACATTTGCATCATTTATAATGTGTGATTGGATGAAACCCTAATTAGTTTTTTGGGGAGGAGTGATGACAGATGGCTGGGAAGTAATGAGAATCCTCTTATGAGACTCTAGTATTAAGAGAACATCTTTATTGTGTGAAAGTAATTAATTATTTGTGGATATCTCCTGACAAATGTGCCATTTCTTTTCCCCAAAAGTTGTTGTTTTATTTTGTTGGACAATCTGTTTGTATTTGTCATTGTTGATTGACTTCCATACACAACTACGTAAAATATAGATACACAAGTAAAATTGGGATATATTTTATCTTTTGAAAACGAAGACTCTCCTGAGTAGGGGCAATTTATAATAATAGATGTATTCAGCATGTACTATTAATGCTGGAAAACAAATACTTGGTTTTAAAATGTCATTTGTGAGAACCTGAAAAGGGACAAGTGCTTTTACAGATGTAAACTGTTGTTTACTGCAGACCACCAGTGTTTGGCACACAGTGGGTTTTCAGAAAACAGATCTGACTGGGGGCTAATTGCGATTTAACTCAAAGGCATGTTTCTGCTCATTTTAATTTTGATGACAACGTGTATATGAGAGGTTCAGAAAAGTTCTTGTCTCTGCCACCTTGTAAGCAGAAGTACTTTACTGTTTTTGAAGTAGAAATTAGCTGGAAAAATCACATAATTAAAATTGCAGTGTACCAAGGGGAACTATTTCAGTTTATTATTCAGATTCTGATGATTATTATAGGAGGTTCTTCATGTGCCCTTAAGTACTTTGTCTTTAAAGTACTTTATAATTTTAAAAAATTCTTATTTTTTAGCACTTTTTTTTTGCTTTAACTTGGCCTTTTCCCCCCCTCTGTTTCTTTTGTGTTTGTGTTTTCTGGTTTTTTAATATTTCTGGTATTTGCAATCTTTCCCCACTTCTTTGCTACCTATTTCATGATATTCCAGATTGTATGATATGTAGAAATTAGCATCTTATTATTCTCTGCATTATTTTTCAAAGGAGGTAATCCTTGTTCCCCGTTTTCCCACAAAATGTATCCTTGGGTGGAAGATTTAAAACGTTTTCCTAGTGGGATGTTCCTTAAATAAGGGTCTAAATAATGAAATTTGTTTATGTTAGAGAGGTCTCAGTGGAATTTGCAGGAGGTGGAAAGCTGCTTTTGTTTGGAGCATAGCCATTTTCTGTATGACCTTCTCTCTGAGGCTGCCTCTTCCTTTTCCTGATAAAATACAATTATAACACAATGAGATTCAGGTTTATACTTAAAACATGCATTGGAGGAAAACAATATCTAACGGCATCCCAGAGTCCAGGGATGAAACTCTGGATCAACTTTCTTAAAAATATATAAATTCATTTAATCCTCAAAGATAGTAGATTTTGTTCATGCATTTAATATCAAAAGGGCTTTACCATAATCTGATAACCGTAAATAGAGAGCCTAGAGGCACACCTCACTCAGAGGGTAAGGCAGATATATGTTCCTGCAGAGAATCGGGAATTAAAATCATCTCAGAAGTGGGAGAATAATATTAGATACCAGGATGGGGTGCTAGGGATATAGTTTATATTGGTTCCCATGAGCACTTATGTAGAACTTCTTTCATGACAGAATAAAAGAAAATTTCCTAGGGTCATGTTAACATTTCTGATTTAATTAGGTTCATTTTGATCTTGTTCTTTTCTTGTTGTTGTTAATTTTTAAAAATGTTTGCTTATTTGTGAGAGACAGACAGAGCACAAGTGGGGGAAGGACAGAGAGAGAGGGAGACTTAGAATCTGAAGCAGGCCCCGGGCTCTGAGCTGTCAGCACAGAGCCTGACGAGGGGGCTTGAACCCACAAGCCATGAGATCATGACCTGAGCCAAAGTTGCACGCTCAACCACCTGAGCCACCCAGGTGCCCCACTTTTGATCTTGTTCTTATAGGAAACTTATTAGTTTCCCACATAACAGGTTTTTAATGTACCATGCTATATATTGCCCTGTTATAGCATGTGTTTCTCTTTATTACCCTCTGCCTAAACATCTGGCACTCATTCCTGTATATGCAAGTTCAGACTCCTCCTCTGTCAATCTCATTGGCCTCTCAACTGCCTAAAAAGGAAAACAGAATTCTAGCTTCCCTCCAGAGAAACACCAAGCACTATCTCAGAATTTCATACAAGCAAAATCCTCTATATAATTTTTGGTTGAATAGAAATATTCATTAATTCAGTATTTTATTAGTCTAACTTTCAAAAAGCTAATTCAGAATGTCCCCAAACACAATCCAAATAATAAGAAGAATTACCAGAGATTTTAAAAACTACCCCAAAAGTTGACATGGAACACTTTTAAATATATATGTTTTTAAGTTATTTTTTATTTATTTTGATAGAGATATAGGAACAAGCAGGGGAGGGGCAGAGAGAGGAAGAGACAGACAGAATACCAAGCAGGCCCTGCTCTGTCAGCGCAGATCCTGACGTGGGGCTCAAAGTCACAAACCGTGAGATCATGACCTGAGCTGAAACCAAGAGTGGGATGCTTAATGGACTGAGCCCCCCAGGCACCCCTGATGTGGAACACTTTTTATGGTTCATAATATTGTATGGGTTACACAAGAACTAATTTCTATAAGACATTATATGTTTGCATGTAATCTATTTCAGTTGTAGTTTTACATCACATTAAATGTAGAAATCTTACAGTACCTTTATAAATAAGTCCCAGATATTTTGGGCCCATCCAAAGAAGTTTTTAATCTTCTGTAAAACAAACTCAGAAGCTTTAAATTTAGCAAGTTACAAATGATAGAAAGCTTGAGCCAAGATACATGAACTTGTGCAGAAATTAAAACACCTGTGGTTGTCCAAGTTTTCATTGTGTGAGAACTGCATACTCACCTCAGAGATGAGCACAAAGTCATTCTCTTCCTGATTGCTTGGTGGATTGGGCTCAATAGGAATCCCGTGTGTGAAATATGGTTTGCCAAAATCCAAACAAGGTGACTAAGCATTGGGCTTCTTGTTTATATTTGGGTGGTGGCTTAGGCCAGTAATTTTTTTGAACTGCCTGGTATTTACCACCATGCCTTCCAGAGAATTTTAGTGCTTCAGATTAGCTCTCTGCTTGGGGGATGGTGACAGTGAGGTTATCATTTTATATATGCACCGAGCATCTCTTTTCAGACAGGAAATACCACTGCTGAGAGGTACTTGGGAATCAGCCCCAGGCTATTTTGCTCTCACTTCTGTGCTGGATTATGGTCTTTCACAGCTAGAGGTCAGATCTTGTCAGATTCCCTCATTCTTTCTCTCTTTTGCTTTTTCATTTAGGAACTCTGTAGTATAGATTCTTTTTTCTAAGTCTCTTGAAGAAACTGAGGGTTCCTATTCAAATACCATATCTTCATCACACTCACATACAAACACCCCACCCCCAGCACAGAGGCCATGGCCTCAGTGGAAGACTTTAAACTGAACCAAAAGGGGTGGGGAGAAAGTATTGGGTCTGGGACTTGGATTTTGCCCTACTTAAGGGCTAATATGTTTGCCTATTATTGTTTCATGGATGCTGACAGAAGATACTAGAGACTGGGTCAGAGACAAAGGATGTTATTACCCGTGACATAGAGAGCATGTTGTGTGTTGTGTCAGTGCCCTCCTTGCCCTGTAGTCCCACTGTGGGGAGCATGGGGAATTTTGCCAAGGGCCCATCTGAATACCTGCATAGGCGGTGAACCATATTATAGTAGAGGAACTCTGAGCTTGGAGAACCTACCATTTTATAGCCAGAAGTAAGCAAGTCTGTTCTTTGTCTCAAGAGAGACATTGCCTCATTTCTTGAGGTTTCTCATGTGAAACACAAGCTTGAGAAATGGTTAGGGCTTCGCATTCTTGGCATGCTTAGCAAGATGTACAGGTGAGTGAGAGACCCATGGGGACTGTTTCTCCCAACAGAGGACATTAACCAGACTTCTAACCTTAAAGAAACTAGCCTTTCTCCCTTTATTTCTTTTGGCTCCTATCCACCAAGTCATCCACCACTTCTACAAAATTATATCTAAATGCATTATTCACTTATTTAATATTTCAATTAAATTGTCTCAAAACCATTTCACTTTCATGTTTGTGGGAGCTATGGATCATACTGAAATGATGAAAAATGTTACAACTTTTAGGCAAAGCCCAAATATTCACATATTTTCACCTGGCTTGATAATAGTACATGTATTCATCGTTCTCTTGAACCTGTTTCAAAAAGAAGTTTCTTCTTTTACCAAGAGAAGTTTTATGTCTCAAGTACCTTAATCTCCCACTTGGGAAAATATCTATCCCAAATGGGAAATAATTTTTGAGAATATATCTTTGAACATCAAAAAAAAAATGATTTTGCTGCCAAAGACCATATGGCTATAAGGTTACAGCTGTGTTTGAGGACAAAGGTCTGTGAAAATAAAGACTGGTACTCATACATGTTAAAACATACTTCCCTACAATTAAAAACTTCATGTTTCTTGCCTGTGATAGTCCCTGCACATATTCTTACCTCAACTGAAAGAACCAGATCAATGAAAACTGAAAGCATTTCTTAGCTCCGTTGTCACATCTTCTCATGCCTAAAATTTTGGCAGAGAGCTCTCTTCTGTCTGTGAAGTGTCCACCTTCTATTCACAATCTCTAGGATATCCTGGGACCTTCTCATTCCCCCATTATTACCATTCCAGGTGTCTCTGCCTTAGGCATTGGAATTTACAGTGTCAGTCTTGGTTTTTCTTACCAGGTTAGATTACCAACCCAGTCAGTCATTTCCTGTTTCAGTTCCCACTGAAGAC